TTTAACAACAAACAATCTGATTAACAAAACTGTGAATGTTTAATTTAGTTTTGCTTGTTTTTACCTGGGAAATTATTAATCAAAATTACGTTTTTTTATGTTAATTGTGATTAATATAAACTCACCTACATTTGAACAGTTTATGAGTAATTTAATTGTGATGAGCAACTCAGTGAATCAAATTTAATTCAGTTAAATTCAAGACCATTATCATTTGTTGGGTGAAAATTGATCATCAATCTATTACGAAAATCAGTTTAAACTTTGAAGTTGATTAAGCAATTGTACTTGGTGAACTTTAATTGTAACAATTAGCTGAATATAAATTGTGATTAACCACTGATCTAAATCCATCGATCTTAATCATTCAATCAACAATGTCACCAAAAATGTCAAAGATTAATATATTTACTTGTTATCTTTTAATTACTTTTTTGATTGTTGTCTCATTTACTGATCACCATTCATCAGCTCAAGTAATGAGGATCTGTGAAAATGGCGACTGCCTCCAATTGTAAGTAATTAAATTTAATCACTCCCTAAACTGTAAGCTAATTGTTGCCTCGTTAAATTGTTAACAATTAAAAGGGCTCGAAGAACCTCATTATCGAAACGATGATCTCAATGGCATTTTCAATTTAATGAGATACTTAAAACAAGGCAGAGTAATTGGAAGTAATTTCAATTCACCTTTCATGTGAGTATCCAAGTCAACAATTAACTAATTGTTCCAATCCAAATTCTAACATTTTCAAGATGAGTTCCAATGTTTCTATCCAAATCCAATGGTCCAATCCAAGAATATCAATGAATCGAATTGTAATAAAATTCGAGAATTAGAACTTTTTGATAAGAAAAATTTCGAAACAATTAAATCATCTCGAATCACTCGATTCTTAATTGTTGTCTTTAACTTTGTTATAAATTAATCGCATTGATGATTGTTTTTTATCTCATTTCTTAATTGATCAATCAACAATTGGACTGAATCTAAACCAGTGGGAAACGGAGTGTAATTAACACGGATAAAGAATGACAGATAAGTTTGAACAATTAACTAATCATAAAAATTGATTTTTCATTCTAATTTTCGTTTCTTTGGTTTAATCATAATATTATTTGACAATTAAATCTTTAAATTGAATAACGATGAAAAGTAACAATTACTTATCAATAGTTGTGATCATTTCTCTTGCAAGTTAATTGTTGTTTAGATTTATTTCCACTAATTAATTTTCTTTATCAAACAATTTAATGACTCTAATGATTGAGAAAATAAAAGATCGTTGTAATTGTAAAACATTTAAATCTCTCGAAAATTAAATGATTAAAACTTGATCACTTTTCTCTTTACGATTATTTCGCTTTTCTCTTTTTTTCTCAACTCCTTTCATGATCAGAATCTTCATAATTCTGTTCACCAAATGAACTTCATCGTCCGATGTTCAATCAACTGTAATCAGAGATATTAATCTGGTAATAAGTTGATTACAATTAGATAATGAAAAGAAATGTAATTAGAAAGAATCAATGAAAACTCAATGAAAAAAGTGAGACTTGAAATAAACTGAAACTTTAAGAAAGCGCCTCAAGCCAATTTAGTCATTCGGTTGATTGGATGACTCATTTGTATTAATAGTTTCTGATTTTTATCATTTTAATAAAACGATTATCAATTTTTACAAAAAAACTGTTATCGATTTTTGATTGAAAGAGAAAAAGAAAGAAATCGAAAAATCGATTATTCGTTTCAGTCACTTGAATCGATGATAATCGATCGTTTTGATGGATCGCCACTTTGTTTTTCTTTGAGAAAGTTTCATTTTTTTATGTCAATTTTTTTACTTTGTTGTTCTGACAATACAATTAATTGTTCATCAGTATGACTTCATTGGAATTAAATAGATCTGAGCGTATTAGAGCTGCTCTATTCGATGATTTATCAAGTGACATTTTATATACAACATCGATCGACAATAAATCAGAAACATGTGTCCTTAGACTCTCTGAACCTGCACAAATGATTAAATTGGCGATTGAAGCTTTGATTAATTACCAGAATGACGCTGATTTGGCAACAAGTGCTGTTCCTGAGCTGTTGAAGCTATTAAATGATGAAGATGAAGTGGTGGTTAACAAAGCGACATTAATGGTTCACCATCTTTCGCGAAAAGTCGCTTCCCGACACGCACTCATCAATTCTCCTCAAATGGTGTCCGCTCTTCTTAGGGCGATGTCAAATGCCGAAGCTGAAACAACCACTTGTGCTGCGAGTATTTTACATAATTTATCTCAACATCAACAAGGTCTTCTAGCGATTTTCAAGTCCGATGGAATCTCTGCCTTAATTAAGCTTCTCACCTCTCCAATCAATCGAGTTGTTTACTATTCCTTGACAACGATCTACAACCTGTTGCTTCATCAAGAAGGATCAAAAATGGCCGTTCGACTCGCCGGAGGGATCCAAAAGATGGTCACATTGTTGAATCATCCCAATCCTAAATTCCTCGCTCTTTTGACCGAATGTTTAACTTTACTTGCTTATGGAAATCAAGAGTCTAAGTTGATTATTCTCGCCTCAGGTGGTGTTCCAGAGATTGTGAACATTATGCTTATTCATAACTATGAGAAATTACTCTGGACAACATCTCGACTGCTCAAAGTTTTGTCCGTTTGTCAAAGTAACAAACTCGCGATCATCCAAGCCGGAGGAATCTACGCTTTGGATATGCACTTGGAACAACCCGGAAGATTACAATTAAGTTGCCTTTGGGCTTTGAGGAATTTATCTGATTCTGCCACCGATATTCTCAACATTGATCATCTTCTCCAAGTTCTACTCAATTTACTCAAAAGCGAAGATCTTAACGTTGTTGTTTGTTCGGTCGCTATTCTATCCAATTTGACCTGCAACAATACCCAAAACAAACTATTCTTATGTCAACTAGATGCAATTGAAAAAATTGTTACAACCATCAAACAAGCTGGAGATAGACAAGAGATCGTTGAACCAGCAATTTGTGTTCTCAAACACCTGACACATCAGCATGAGGAAGCAGAAATAGCCCAGAATGATGTCCGTCTTCATGATGGTTTGAATTATATTGTAAATTTCTTGAATCTACCGATCAGTTGGTCACTTATCAAGGGAATTGTGGGATTAATTCACAATCTGGCTCAATGTCCAGCCAACCAAGCGCCATTACGAGAAGCTGGAGTTATTCCCAAGTTGAATCAAATTTTATCCAAAGCTCAACAAGAGAGAAACTCATCTTCAGGATACATGGATGGTGTTAAAATCGCCGATATCATCGAGGGAACGATGTATTCATTCAAGATGTTAGCTCGAGATGTTCATAATCGATCCATTATCACAGAAATGAACTTAATCTCAACATTCGTGCAACTCTTGTATTGTGACGATGAGAACGTTCAACAATCTGCTGTTGGTGTTCTCAGTGAACTGTCCCTCGAAAAGAAAGCCGTTGACATTATTGAATCCGAAGGAGCTACTGCAGCTCTTACTGAACTTCTCCATTCTAGAAATGAAGTGACAGCCACTTTCGCCGCCGCTGTTTTGTATCGAATGTCCGAAGACAAACCTCAGGATTACAAGAAGCGTCTATCATTGAACTGACAGCAACCCTTTTCCGTGACGAACCCAATGATTGGACTTCAGCCGGTGAAGTGGAAAACGAGGTCTTACCACAAGCTGAATCTCACTACGGATCACTCGCCTCTCCCCTCAATCCTTATCCACAATCAATTTACGTCCAAACCACATCAGATATGGATGTTAACAATCCCTATTCATCACCATATTACAACGAACAGGACCAAGTCGCCAATAATGACCAATACTCCGCTTGGTACGACACCGACCTTTAACTTATCAACAATCAAATCAAAAACCGTTTCCAGTGACTTATCACCAATATTTGAGTGGCCTTATCAGTTTAATCTTATTACTCTTATACAAATCTGACACTTTAAATAATAATTTACATTTTAATTTCTTACTATTAATATTTACCCAATAGAACATATTTAATAAATTATGCTGATTTAATAACAATCGCAAGTAAAAACAATAACATTGATTATCTTCCGTTAGAAATTTGAATGAAAAGAAAATTAAAAATAAATAGTTACCACTTAACAACATTAGATGAGAAAAACAATTTTAATTGCAACAAATTGTTTCCCTTTAAATTGTTACCATCAAAAGTTAATTGGAAACGATTATTTTTAAAACGATTGTAAACTTTAATTACTAAACTGAATTTACAACAACAATCCTTGTAATTTAATGACTGGGAAAGAATTTGATTAACTAATTAAAAAATCATTTCTACCAATTTGTTTCTCAATTGTTAAATTTAGATTTAAATTGTTACTGTTGATTTAAACTGCTCGTTTCTTTGGCTTAATCATATTACTAAATTGAACACTATGAAAAGTAACAATCAATGTGATCATTTCTATTACAAATTAATTGTTGTTTAGATTTACTTTCACTAATTAATTTTCTTTACCCAACAATTTAATGACTCTAATTGTAAAACGTTTAAATCTCTCGAAAATTAAATGATTAAAACTGAATCACTTTTCTCTGTTTTCTCAACTCATTTCATGATCAGAATCTTCATGATGATTAAACTATTTGCGTGATGTGATTCAAACCTTGTTGAGTAATTAAATTAAGCTTAATGACCTAAGCAACGCAGGCGTAATCCTAATCCTAATCCTAATCATGTATTGTTGATTGTGATTCAAATTGTTTATCCCAAAAATCAAATTGATATTTTACTCTAAAAGATCAACAAATTGGTCAAATGTTTCACATTGAAAAACTACCTGATGATTGTTTATCCTCCATTTTTGAATCTATTACAAATCTAGATGATTTAATTGTTTGTTCAAAAGGTAAGCAATTGATAATCTCAATTTTAATTGTCTCTCATTCACATTTTTACGGAAGTAGATTTTCATTTCAAAATAATCTGAAAATTAATCAGCGGTTCATTTAAATCGCATCGCAAATCATTTCTGCTGTTAACTGAATTTAATTTTCAATTCATTTTGATAATTTGATAGTTTGTCAACGCTGGAGGTTCCTGATTGTTCAGAGATTGAATAAGGTGAAATATTTAACTGGTAAGTATATTAATCGTAATGAATTGGTTCAACAATTAACTTAATTATCTTAATACTAATTAGACGACAGTAGTATTGGCTGTTTCAAGAATTCAATTTACTTCAATAAACTTGATTCACTGAGTCAAAGTCAATTGTTAGGACTATTGCCCAGATTTAAGGTCAGTTTCGGGTTTGATAAAGTTCACAATCAATAGGCCACCGATTAAAATTTGTTAATTGTCTCGATTTCATTTCAGATTCTTGACATTCGTCCCACAAACGAAACCAAATTTAAATCTATTGACATATTCAAAGTAATTGAAGGCATTAAATCAGTGAAAGGATTAATATATGAACCATGTTGGGATAAATTCCCATGTTCGATATCAAGAGTACTGACCATGAATCTCGAGATGATTGCTACCAATCTATTTGAGCCTTCGTTTATTGATTGTAATCAGAATCAATTAAAATTGAAGCAACTTTATTTCGCTGATTGTTTCCAGAATCATTTCGAGGAGATTGCAAATTCTGGTTATTTGAAAATCTCCAAAGACTTCATATTGAAGTCGCAATTGTAAGTAACAGAATTAATTTAATATCAAATTATTCGAAAAGTTCTAATGGTTCCAATCAAAGTTTCAATTAGTTCATATGATGGACCAGTATTGAGAGTATAAAATTTTGGAGGCTTGTTTATATTCATATGATGCCACTAATCCTTATCCTGGATTTCATTTCATGGATTTATGTCCATCCGTTGAAAGTGCTCATCATTTAATCAAGCCGAAAAAACTATCGATCAACCAAACAATCAAAAATAATTCACTGAGAAATTTAGTTCTGGATCATGTAAGTTACCAGCTAATTGTTTAAGATCAGTGTCAACAATTTAACTTTTTTTCTGATTGCAGCCGGAAAATTATGTATCAGATAATTGGACTGATTTGCGAAACTTGTTAATCAAGTATCCGAAATTGAAAAATCTCGCAATTAGAGGCGATTATGGGCTTGATGATTCTAATTTGACGGAATTACTTGACCTTATACCCGAAATTGTTATTCTTGATCTTCGCCAGTCAACCAGATTATCGGAAAAATCGAAAGATATTGTTAATCGATATTGTCAAAGGAAGAATAGAGAAATTTGGTTCTACAATAGGCCCGATCAACGTATCGAACACGATTGGCCTGAACTTGCATCTCAAACTAATCAACGAATCTGTCAAGGGTTCGATTTCATGAGAAATTGTTTTCTTAAAACATTTCAACAACTTCCTTATCTTATTGATCCAATCGAAGATGATTAATTGTATTAAAACAAAACGAAATGTTGATTAAGATGAAGATAATTCTAGAAATTGGTAACTTGATCACAATTCTGTTCTGTAATCAACTATTGATTCCCTCACTAATCATGATAGCTGAAAGATAGTTCATCTAGAGATGAAGATCTCAATGAGGAGGGAGAATGGGAGCCGAGAAAAAAAGGCTTCTCTCATGTCAATAAATAGAAGATGATAGAAGATTAATTCTTTGAGTCCGTTTTCATCAGCATGATTAATGACACCTTATTACGATTTCTTTACCAAAAATCTAATCAATCGGGTGAAAAATCAATCAATAATATAATTAACAGTATCATTTACCCATAAGAAAAGTTAACCGATCTAAACTATTAGAAAATGTGTGGAAAAAGTTGCAAAAGCGAAATTTAACCCAATTAATTGAAACTTCGACAGTAATTACATCAACAATCAACATTTCATCATCTTCAACGGTTCCTCTGGATAATCATGACTCTTCATCCAATTGGAGTAAATCAGTTAAACCACAATTGTCGACAATCAGTCAAACCGGACCAATTAAATTGTCACGTCGTGATTATCTACTCATCTCTGTATTTGCTTACATAAACATCATAACCGGAGCAGCTTATTGTGTTTTGTCACCTTCTTTCCGAAAGAGGTAATTAAATGATCTTGGTCTTTGTATCGTGTAGAAAAATTAATTAAAGTTCATCAAAAAGGTATATGGCTAATTATTGTCGTGCACGTTTCACTGAACCGATAAGTGATAATAAAATAAATCATCATTGATTGATTTCTTTCTAATCAACAGGCTGAATCTAAAGGACTATCTCCATCGACCTATGGTTTTCTTTTCTCCATCCAGGAAGTGATTGCCTTCATCTTGTGTCCAGTCTATGGAAAATTTGTAAGTTGACCATAAATGGGATATATTTTCATTCCGAGTGATTCATTTTTTGGAACCATATCTTTGATAGAATTAGATTTCAACAAGAGAAAAGAAATGAGTTGTATCTTGAAGTTAAGTAACTTTTTCTTTTTTGCTTTGATGATGAAAAGTAATTAATAAAGAAACTTTAATTATTTTATTTCACCTTCATTTTCATCTTCATTCTCATCTTCATCCTCATCTTCATATTCATCCTCATCTTCATCTCTATTTTTATCTCCATCTCGTCTCTTACAAGGAGACGAGATGTTGTTTATATTTTCTTTGCCAACAATCAATTACCTGGTGTACCAATGAAATATAATTAATGTACTTATTTTGATTCATCAGTCGACAAATTAATCAACATTTAACAATCTTACCAAAGAAAATCAGATTAAATTTACCTTGATTTCTATTTTGTTGTCAATAATTTGCTTTAAAAGTTTTTTTCTTTCCTGAGTACTTGTCTTTGTCTAAATATTAATTACTAATAAATCAATTAGTTATCAATTAGTTATGAGCAACTTGAACAAGAATCAATTCAATTAATAACATAATAAACACACAGTGAGCACATTGATTGACTCTCCATGTTGTTATCCGTAAATGTCATTGATTTTTATCAAACAAATTAACACCAGACTCGAAAGGAAGATGATGACGATGGTGATATTGGTGATGATAATCAACGAAGTGATATTAATCGGATGATTATGACCTAATCAACTTAAATAATAACTTCATTCTTTTCTTAATTGTCAATAAATTTGAGTGAGTTACAAGTGGAAAACCACAACAACCTACTCGTCTATTAATCGTTGAAAAATTAGCATAAACCAATATCACCCAATCATAATTTGATTGATAGAAACGAGGAAGAAAATTCAATTCTAACTGGAGTTATATCTAAATCACTTACAGATTAAAATTTAAAGAAAAATGCTCATTTTCTCATTCGTTACTGTGGTTACAATGTTTCCTAATTTCCATTTGATTTTTATTCAATTTTCCCTTTACTAATCACTCTTAATCACAATCAGCTAATAATTTCTTAATTTGTGTATCATCAATTGATTAGTAGCTTTTATTGTTAAAAGTTGTTTGTTAATTTGTCAAGGCTCACAAATGATTTGACTCTCATTCGTTTTTACACTTTTCTATCCAGTTACCTAAACTTGGATTTAGATTGACAATTTTAACTGGTATCTTTGTTGGATCAACTGGAATAATCTTGTTTGGGTAAGATAAATATTAGTCTTCTTTTAACAATTAATTTGTTTCAATTGTTTCATCTGTTTTTCAGAGCATTAAAATGGGCTCCAAATGGGACACTATTTACCACCTTTTGTGCCTTAATCCGATCATTTGGATCAATAGGATTAGCAGCAGTCTCAGCAACGTGTTATGCCGCAATCCCGGTCTATTATCCAAATCACATCTCTCAAGTATTTGTAAGCTAATCCTCTAAATGACTTTGGACATTGGTACTGATAATTTTCACTTTAAATCAATCTCTTTTCCTCCATAGGGTTTGATTGAGATGTGTTATGGTGTTGGTATGATCGTTGGCCCTCTGCTTGGTGGTTTCCTTTATGAGGTCTGGTTCTAAAACAAATCGATCAGCAATCTTTGATTTAATTATAATTGACTAATGAATCTTTTGTCTCTGACATATTTTTTCTTTCTGTTAGGTTGGGGGCTTTGATTTGCCCTTTTTCGTCTGTGGTGCTCTTCTTTCCCTTACATTTCCAGTACTATTCGTCCTCTTCCCGAGAAAAGCAAGTGAGTTCAATTATGGATTATCTGATTAACCAATTGAATTTCAATCAATAACGGTTGTTGAATCACATTCAAACTCTTCATTAATTTTAATATCAAGCAAATCTCATCATCTGATTAGACATTTATTAGAAAAAAATAACAATAGCAAGTGACGATGATGGAAAAAAACATAATTATAAATCAAAGGGAAATTTCTGTTGATTTGTTGATTATTTTTTATTTTGTTTTCTTCTTTCACATCCTTGATTGATATAAGACTCTCATCGATTGATAACTTGAATATTAACTATTCCTGCTTGCTTTTCAAACTGTTAATGATTAGAGAGAAAAAGAGAGACTACTAATTATCTTTATATTCATGAACCTTCACGATGAGTCAAGATCTTGAATCTCTAACTTTGAATTTGATTAAGTTTGTTTAATTGATGATTTTCTTTCATCTTTCATTCAGAATTGACCAGAAATGAGAAAAGTGCTGGAATATTCAAAGTTTTATCCAATTGGAGGATAACATTACAGATCCTCATAACTATTGTACTTTGCATCGTCTTTGGGTTCAATCAATCCATGTTGGAGCCACATATTAGAAGCGTAAGAATTTTCGACATTGAGTTCGTTATCATATATTGGGACATTCTATTATTTGCGTCTCATCTTAACAGTTTGCTAATCTGCGATCATCAGCAGTTGGATCAATTTTCTTATTATCTGGTCTATTTTATGGTATTTTTACCTGGATCGTTGGTCTGTTCATGTCGAGATATAAAGATGTCACTTTCATGAATATCGTCGGTTCTTCACTTATCATATTAGGGTTCATTCTGGTTGGTCCTATTTACCTTTGCCAATTAAACCGTATGTTTGACAGTTTAAAGATCAAGTTTAACCTAATTCTAAATGGAATGAAACTTTTCTACAGGAGTATTGTACTGGTTGTATTCTCTCAGATCGTTTATGGAATGGGCTTGGCCTTTTGTTTCGTTTCCAACTTTACGCAAGCAATGAGGGAAAAAGAGTATGATAATTGGTAATCTAATGTTCCAATTTATCAATAACAAATTGTTCTTTTGATCTTTCAAGTTTATCTGATTTAAAAGACGATGTTGGTGCTGGTTCAATGATAAGTAGTCTTTTGTTTCTGCTTATGCCTTGGGTAAGAAATTGAAACTAATTTACTTTTGCAAAGTGAATTTTAACTAAAAGTTTCATCGTAATATATGATTATCAGAACTGCCCTTGGACCCATAATTGGAGGTTATCTTGTTGAACATTTCGACTTTCCTAAAGCTTGTTTCGGTATCGTTTTGTTGACAATGATAATTGTAAGTACATTGTATTATATTTTGGTTACCTCATGAAGTTCTGGATTTTATCTCAAGTTCTAAAGAATTTTTCACTTTTTATTCCATCAGTTGTTGATTATAATCTTCACCATGTTATTCCATGAGCGTAAAAGCTTCGATGGTGAGAATAAGAAGAATAACTTCAATGAACAAATTCGTTATTGAGTTTAAGGATATAATTCACCAAAATCATAATCTAAATCAAAGAGTTGATTGATTACTCTTTGATTGTGAGACTTAAACAAAGTGATTAGACAAGATTGAGTGGTAAAGATATTAACTAATAACTGTCGAGAAAACAGCAAATGTACAGGCTTGTGACTTACCGAAAGGAATCGAATATAAAAATGAGCTTTATTTTTACGATGGAATTTGACAATTTACATGTTCTATACTAATTTCTATCATTAAATTTCCAATACTTTACATGATATAATTGTTTAACTTCAAATCCGTGTCAACTACTCGATTAAAACGAGCGTCTGGTTTACAAAGTGATAAAAATCTTACAATTTTGCACCAAAAACAATATGAGATTTGCTAACAGTTTAACAATTAAGTAGTGGCTCAGTTTCTCATGTCATGAAATCAATTACTTCATTGATTAGTCTTCTCAATAACAATTTCAACCGTTCCAAGAACAATATCAGTTGAAGTTGATTCGAGTTTAGAAACATCGTCTTCGTCCGAATTAATCGAGTCTTGATCAGGAAATTTTTCAACATGATCGGAATGGACTGTAACGATATTCTCTTGGCTCTGATAAATTACTCTGCTTTGCACTCTTGGAGTCGATTTGTTGTGATAATCGTCACTATCAGAAGACTCAGATTTTGACTGACAAGTGGAGTCTTGTGGTTCTTTTGTGGCTTTGGCCTCGGCCTCTGCACGAAGTACAAGATCCCAAGTATTTCGAGTGTAATATAGCCAAATCATTACAGAGGCAGGAAAGACGACAACAAAACCAGCAGCAATGTAAACAGTACCTGGAGAGTTCTCAATAGTTGCATTGAAAATTTTAGAATAAAAAACGGAAGAAATTAAAGGACCAGCCGATTCGATACACGAAAGAATCATCAGAACAGAAAGGGTTTACTGTTTTCCATTTGTCATAAAATAACAGTTAATGTGAATACAAATGATCACTATTTATTCAATGAAAAAGTTTCTATTGAAAGTGATTAGTTTTAATTGTTGAGACTTAATTGCTCACCCATATTTTTGTGCCTCTTGTTTAGCTCGTTCCTCGGAAACAACTCGTTTCTCAAATAGATCAACCTTATTACCACAAAGTATTACATCGATCGTTACAATAAGCATGAGTCTTTAATTGATCTAACCAACCACGAATATTGATAAATGATTGTTCACTTGTTATATCGAAGATCAAAATGAAGCCCATTGCATCACGAAAAAAAGCCGTTGTTAAACTACGAAATCTGTTGATTGATAGTAAATTTTTCACAATTAGAATCAAAATTTTATCAAGTTAATTGTTTTCCTTTCATTACAAACCTTTCTTGACCTGCAGTGTCCCATAGTTGAAGGTGAATCCGTTGACTTCTCCTTGAAACTCCGTCTAAATTTTGTGGCTTATAAACCTGATTAAGAAAATGAAACAATTGATTAACTAATGTTACATTGGTTAAGAAAACAATCGTAACTATGATTAAAACAAGCAATTAACTTACAACTCTTTTCTCCTGAAATCAATTCCAACGGTTGATATAAATTTACCATCAAATGAACCATCAGTATATTGGTAAAGGAAACTTGTCTTACCACTCCCGAATCACCAAGAGACAAAATTTAATCAAATAATCATAATCAGGAGCCGAAGGGCTATGATTGGGAAGTTGATTTTTTCCGGTCATCATTAACCAATCGATTCTTTTAATATCAGGCCTTGATTTTGATCACTCAAATTGATAATATTGACAAATAAGATGAAGTAAAAAAAAAGTAACAACAATCAATCGAGTAAGTATTGTCAAGTATTGGCAGTTGAAGTGATTTTTTTGGCAATTTTTTGATTCGTTTTCACTATTCTCTTTTTATATCTTCGTTTATTAGTTGATGTTACTCTAAAAGATCAACAAATTGGTCAAATGTTTCACATTGAAAAACTACCTGATGATTGTTTATCCTCCATTTTTGAATCTATTACAAATCTAGATGATTTAATTGTTTGTTCAAAAGGTAAGCAATTGATAATCTCAATTTTAATTGTCTCTCATTCACATTTTTACGGAAGTAGATTTTCATTTCAAAATAATCTGAAAATTAATCAGCGGTTCATTTAAATCGCATCGCAAATCATTTCTGCTGTTAACTGAATTTAATTTTCAATTCATTTTGATAATTTGATAGTTTGTCAACGCTGGAGGTTCCTGATTGTTCAGAGATTGAATAAGGTGAAATATTTAAGTGGTAAGTATATTAATCGTAATGAATTGGTTCAACAATTAACTTAATTATCTTAATACTAATTAGACGACAGTAGTATTGGCTGTTTCAAGAATTCAATTTACAGTCAAACCATTTAGGTTGAACCAAGTTTCTATTAGCTCAGAATATTTTCTATTTAGTTTGAACTTGCCATCGGCTATCCATCGGGTTAATCCGTTTTCTCTAGAAAGGTTGAAATTTTCTCTATTCCCTCGAGAAGATTTTCTATTTAGTTTGAACATTTCCTTCTGATTTCTCATTCTGTTCATAACCATGGTTGTGAACTCAATTAATACTTTTATCCGAAGATACAAACAAAGTGGTGTAATCAAAAAACCACCAGGAATTAAACCAAAGAAGTTATCAAGTGAACAAGTGAAAGTTTTGAATTCTTGGTTCGATGAAAATTGTTTTAATCACTTTGGATGATGCAAAGGATAAAGTTAAAGAAAACTTTGGAATTGAAATTTGTATCGAAACGATTCGAAATTATTTAAACAAACTCAACTTTAGCTTCAAACGAATTTCAGTTGTTCCCGTTGCTCGAAATGACCCAACAAGAATCGCTGCGAGAAAAGAATATGCTCGAAACTTTATGACAATTCAAAGACACCGAGAAAAATTTTTTTTTCTCGACGAAACAGGCATCGCCGTTCACGCGCGGGTTAATTATGGATGGAGTCGTATTGGTGAACGTGCTAACGTCAAGACTCGTGCAGTCAGAGGAAAACATTTCTCAATTTGTGCGGCTATTAATTATCGTAGTCTTTACTTTTATGAGGCTAAAGAAAAGGGTTATGACACAGAACATTTTGTAACCTTTCTCAATCAATTCCTGCGCTTTTTAGAAAGAGATGATATCAAAGAGGCCTACATAATCATGGAAAATGTCCCATTTCATCATTCTACGGGAGTCAAAGATACAATTGAAGGAAAAGGTCATAATCTAATCTTTCTTCCTGCTTATTCACCTTTTCTCAACCCAATAGAGAATATGTTTAACCAGCTCAAGTATTATGTCAAAAGATTCAATCCAAATACACCTGATGATGTTTTTCATGGAGTTGATCTAGCAAGTGAAATGGTCGTTAAAAACGATTGTATAAATTATTACGAGAACATGATGATTTATATTGGAAAAAGTCTCGAAGGAGAAATAATAAATAATTAAATAAAATGTTCAAACTAAATAGAAAATCTTCTCGAGGAAATAGAGAAAATTTCAACCTTTCTAGAGAAAACGGATTAACCCGATGGATTAGCCGATGGCAAGTTCAAACTAAATAGAAAATATTCTGAGCTAAATAGAAACTTGGTTCAACCTAAATGGTTTGACTGTACTTCAATAAACTTGATTCACTGAGTCAAAGTCAATTGTTAGGACTATTGCCCAGATTTAAGGTCAGTTTCGGGTTTGATAAAGTTCACAATCAAAGGGTCACCGATTAAAATTTGTTAATTGTCTCGATTTCATTTCAGATTCTTGACATTCGTCCCACAAACGAAACTAAATTTAAATCTATTGACATATTCAAAGTAATTGAAGGCATTAAATCAGTGAAAGGATTAATATATGAACCATGTTGGGATAAATTCCCATGTTCGATATCAAGAGTACTGACCATGAATCTCGAGCAACTTTATTTCGCTGATTGTTTCCAGAATCATTTCGAGGAGATTGCAAATTCTGGTTATTTGAAAAATCTCCAAAGACTTCATATTGGAAGTCGCAATTGTAAGTAACAGAATTAATTTAATATCAAATTATTCGAAAAGTTCTAATGGTTCCAATCAAAGTTTCAATTAGTTCATATGATGGACCAGTATTGGAGAGTATAAAAATTTTGGAGGCTTGTTTATATTCATATGATGCCACTAATCCTTATCCTGGATTTCATTTCATGGATTTATGTCCATCCGTTGAAAGTGCTCATCATTTAATCAAGCCGAAAAAACTATCGATCAACCAAACAATCAAAAATAATTCACTGAGAAATTTAGTTCTGGATCATGTAAGTTACCAGCTAATTGTTTAAGATCAGTGTCAACAATTTAACTTTTTTTCTGATTGCAGCCGGAAAATTATGTATCAGATAATTGGACTGATTTGCGAAACTTGTTAATCAAGTATCCGAAATTGAAAAATCTCGCAATTAGAGGCGATTATGGGCTTGATGATTCTAATTTGACGGAATTACTTGACCTTATACCCGAAATTGTTATTCTTGATCTTCGCCAGTCAACCAGATTATCGGAAAAATCGAAAGATATTGTTAATCGATATTGTCAAAGGAAGAATAGAGAAATTTGGTTCTACAATAGGCCCGATCAACGTATCGAACACGATTGGCCTGAACTTGCATCTCAAACTAATCAACGAATCTGTCAAGGGTTCGATTTCATGAGAAATTGTTTTCTTAAAACATTTCAACAACTTCCTTATCTTATTGATCCAATCGAAGATGATTAATTGTTGTATTAAAACAAAACGAAATATTGATTAAGATGAAGATAATTCTAGAAATTGGTAACTTGATCACAATTCTGTTCTGTAATCAACTATTGATTTAATGATAATTAAAAAGAGGATCATTGAACAACAAAGATTGTGAGGCCAAATTGATTGTTTTTTAAGATCATCTTTAATTAATGCTACTTAATTGTTGTTATAAATACAATTTAATCATCAACAATCATTTGCTATTTTGGATAACACTTATCTTCAAACTTTATTTAAATCAAATTGTTTTAATCACCAAAATATTAATACAATTTAACAAACCATTGACAATCACATGATAATATTAATTAGCGTTAACACTTGATTAACAATTTAACTTGATTAAATTGTTGCCTCTTTTTGTATCTCTGGTCCTTTTTTATATACTCATCATCATTTGATGACAATTAACCGATATATTGATTTCAACTGTTACCGACAATTAAAATTGATTGTCTATTAATCGTCCATCTTTCAATGATTAATCATGAAACTCATGATATTGAACAACAAGAAAATCAACTGATTAAATTCATAATATTATCTATTTGATTAAGAACATTAAATTTGTAAAAAGAAATCGTTGTGACTTTTTTTTTTGAGTATCAATTGCGGAACAATTTACAATTAGATCAATAATCATCGGTAGATTTCAGATTGTACGATAATCGTTCATTGACCTTAATCATTATAAATTGTGTTTAGTTTGTCATTTAATCATAATTAACGTTCATTGTTACCTAATTGTCATCAAAGGAAATGAGGAAAAAAAAGAGTAAATTGTGAGAAACGAAATCGTTGCAATTTAATCAATTGTAGAATCATTTTTCTTAATGAACAAATGTAATTAACAAGTGATTATGTTAACATGATCAACTAGGATATTAACATTTGACAATTAACAAAATACAAGTACATAAAGTTTATACTAATTAATTGATGTAATCGATTAAATTAATTAACTGATAGATTAACACCAACGAGTAATCAATTGATTTAATGTAAAAGCCTCTTGAAGATTAAATTTTTTTTGTTGCTCTCACAACTTAAGATTTATAATTGTTTGAAATTAACATTAATTGACCTTAAATTGATGATACAAGTTAATTGTACATAGATTAAGTACCAATTAGAAAGGTAATTAACATTTATTGGAGAAAAATTTAATCAACCGGATTAAGGAAAGTTAATGACGAAAGTTGGATTAGGTGAGTCCAAGTATTCATCGAGTCCGTGATTTATGATTAGTAGATAATGTCAATCAAACTGTGATTGATTTACTTGCATCACAATTAAGAAGAGAGAGAGAAAAAAAAATCTAATTAGTAAAGATACTAAATTAACTGATTAACTTAATTGTGCGTAAATCTGTTATTGTGAACACCAATTTAGTTAAAGTATCATCGTTATGATGATCAAATGATTTGATTGATTTCTCTCGGACTCTCATCTTTAATTCATTTCTTTCTAATTAGATAACTAAATTAACAAGATTATGATTAAGATAATTGTTGAAGCAAAAACTTGAGAGCAATTTATGGGAAATTTTCCTCCAAGGGCTTTTACAAGTCAAATTGTGAGATGATTAACTTTGATTAACAATTTCAATTGTATCGAGTGTGTTAATCAATCAAACCAAATACTAATAATTTATTAATAAGATTAACTCATTAAAAGGGGTTAATTAAAATTGAAGATTATTATTTTAGTTTCTCTCGTAATTTGTATTGGAAACATTGATTGTGAAAGGAATTACAGTTAACTTAACCGGAAGGAATCAAACAGAGAAATGATCAACCTAAATAGTTAACTAATTTGATCAACAATTAACCATTAGATTGATAAAGAGGAGACAAAGTGTCAAGAATAGTCAAAGATTAAATTGGTTAGTAATCATCGTGATCATGGTTACTATTATTATATTTTAATCTGTAAACAGTTTCGTTAATCAGTAAACAAAATTGTTGATTGTATTTGTTTGTCAATCGCAATAATAATAATTAAAGTAAATAGAGTAGTTAAGATGTTGATGATTGGTAACTAAAACTAATCGTGATTTATGACAATCATATTGTAATTGATATTTGCTTGATTAAAATAAGACGATTAAGATTAAACCAGTTCGACTATTATTTATTTTTACTCATTCGTTTCATGGTTTTCCGATTGTTTTTCAATTTAATATCAAACGATTTAACTTTGCCTTTTAATGAGATCGCTTGACCTTTTGCTGACCAATGTCATGATCCAATGATTCAATTAATTCAATCAATCTATCGACATGAGATTCCATTTGTTGATACCAACGTTCATTTGGATCATAAGTTTGACACCAAAGTTTGTCAACTTCATGGGGAGTTAGACGATCTTCAACGGTAAATGTTTCGACGATTTGTTGACTTGATACCGATCGATCTTCGTGATTTATGACACTTCTATTAGCGTTGACACAACAATAGCAACAAAATATTCGAGACCATAAATTACTTTCATATTGTTCAATTGCAATTAAATCCATTTCAATTTGATTGAGTGTCAGTCCAGTTTCATTTAGATTCGTGTTCGTTGAGTTTAATAATTTCCCTTGAGATTTCAATTCCTTTTGAGCTTTTTTACCAATAGATTCAACTTTTCTCGCTCTTCGGGTGATTGATTGTTTCAATTCCGTCACACTTTCATTAACCATGGTCTTAATAGTAAACAATTAACCCGAGATTTGGTCAATCAATCAGAGAGTTAGAAATTAATCCAGTTTATACAACCTTGTTAATCGAGATCTTTGTATAAGATGTAAAATCAAATTACATAACAATCAACGTCGATTATCAGTTTAATATATCAACCACTTCATCCAAGATATTAATTGATAATATTAATCATTTGAATATTTGAATAGTTCCAAAAGTGAATTAACTTTGATATGAAAATGAAACAGAAAAAAAAGATCAACAATCAATAAAAACAGTTAATGATAAAAGAATTAGAAAATTACAATCAAAGATTCGATAATCAAAAAAATGGACATTAATTATTACTCAATTAGTAGTTATTGACAATTAATAGTTTCCATTATTGTAATATATCAACAGGTATTGATTGTTGATTGCAATCACATTATAATTATTACATGAGTTCTAATCAACTCTAAGATGATTGAAATGTCTGATTAGTTTAATGAAATGGTCAAAATGAAATGTAAAGTTAATCATGATTCTTACGTTTAATTGTAATACACTGATTAACTTGTTATCGTTCTTATCCTCTCAACACTCTGTAATCAACTCTTGTTAGATCGATGAACGACCCTTTCAAAACTTGAGATGAATTCAAATGTAAGAGGAAGATGAAATGATGATGATGATGAAGATGAGAGATGTTTTCGCTCAAGTTACTGGTGATGAAGATGATTAAGATGATGGAGATGATGAAAAGTAGAATATGTTAAGACACATGTGAAGAAGATGATAAGCAATGAGAGATGGAGGTGAAATTATTTGAAAGAGAAGATGATGATGATGAAGATGAAGAAGATGAAGAAGAGGGAGGAGGAAGAAAAGATGATGATAAGAAGATGAAATTATTACCATTGATCGATTATCTCAATATCTCTTAACTTTTGCGAAGGTGAAAATATTTAGGCGACTATAAATTGCGAAGACAATTAGTTGATCATTAGCACTGAGAATCTTGATCAAAATGGATCTCAGGTTAGGATTAATTATATTCACTTTTTACTGTGTTACAACAGTTACACCAGGTTAGTAATTAAGTTAATTAGTCAAATAATCAATTAAATTAACAATGGAAACTAGTTGATCATATTTAATGTAATTAAACAAAAACAAAACAAAAAACTTTTCAAAAACTATTTTTGCACCAAACCAAATGATCAGTTTAATTGTTTAATTTGTTTCCATTTTTAAAAGTTTAATTGTTTTATTAATCATTTTACCGTTAATTCAAATCATCTAGTAATTAATTTATTGATTAAAAGTTTTTCTTTTCAATGTGTGTTTCATATCATAATCAAAATTAATTGTTTCTCATCATTGCGTTTCCGTTTAATTAAATTTCTAATCATCATTATTAATTATGTTTCTTTTTTTTTCTTCTTAATCTTTCATCATCATCATTAATGGTTAACAATTAACAGCTAAATTACCAATAACCAAATCTGGAAATCAATGCTCCCTTCATTGTACAGGTAAGAATCAAATTTAATTGTTTCTCGTCGTTCTGTATTTCTGTTTATCCTGATTAACGGTTTAATTGTCACGTAAATCAGTTAGATAGTGATAGAACTAAATTGTTACTGATTTAATCACTTTCACTTTTTGTTTTCTTGCTTCTTGATTGTCACAATCAAGAATAATAATAATGATAACTGATGAGAAAGTGTTTAGCTCAGGTCTAAGAATGAAATTCTGATGAATCATGTTTTGTCTGGTGTTTATTGTAATTAGAATTGAAAATTAATCATGATAATTAAAGAGAGAGAGAGAGAGATAATTAACTGATTGTAATTAATAAGAAAAGAGTCAAATCTGATAATAAGGTAGATGAACAATTGAAGTTTTCATTGAACTTTGATCAAACATTTAAGACTATGAATGTTCAAGTGTTTACGGATACTTGTAATTAAGATTTTGTTTCTTGATTGTTATCAACAATTAAGATGAATTAACTTGTTCAAATTGAGTCTTTCATTTATAGCATTTAGATCAACACTTAAACATTGAAACTACACTCAAAGTAATTACCTTTTCCTGGATATTAATCATAATCAATAACAACAATTGACTTTCACTCGCAATCTTAATACACACAATTCATTTAATTATCTTGATGATTAAATTAAACGATTAACTTGATACACGTACCTTGAAATAGTAAACATGTTATTAAATATCCTTTTCCTGGTTTACCAAATTACCGATGTTAATTAATTTGATCTTTAAACTGATGATAGATAATCAATATAACCTTGAAAGTTAATAGAACCCAATCAATATTAATTCAGTTTGATTTACTGGTAAACACTTTAGGAAAACAAACATTTGATCATCTAAATTGATTTTAAAATTAAATTAAAATCTATCCTTGA